GTGAGAGAGTGGCGTGTGCAATGCGGGTTTGGAAACCCTTTAGGAATTTGCTTGTACAGGGGAGAGGGGATGGAGAAGAAGGTGAACCAGTGCGCCTGAGAAGTCCCAAGGGAGGTAGGGGAGTTGGACAGGACCCAAACCTCCTAGGGATGCCTGGGGCCAGGGACTGATCCCAGCTCGGGGTTGGATGCTGTCACTGCGCTTATGACCCAGCTCCTTCAACACCTCTTCCATCTCCTGCAGGGAGCCCCAGCAGTGCAGCATGGGGCTCAGGGTACGGGGAACCTCGCACTGGCAAGAGGAGTTGCTGTGGGGCAGAGACACTGCAGGGACGCTCGAGGGAGAGAGCCAGCGTGGGGACTGCGTAAGCACAGAGACAGAGCGGACCCTGTAGGAAAACCCCCAGTACATCGCCACGGTCTCCTGAGCCCTCCGGAGGCTCAGGACCCAGGCTAAAGCCCCATCTCAGCATAGGAGGAAGACTCCAGTGAGGAAATCTCCTCGGGGCCGGGACTGGCACACTCGGCCTTCACCTACCCACCCTACCTTAGTTGGTCTGCTCTTGGGCAGTGGGGTGAGGGGCTCATCTCCAGCATCACCACCTTTCAGCCAGCTCGACTCTGAGAAGATAGAGCAGCTCAGTGATGCCCCCACCCGCACCTCTTCAAAACTCAGCCTTTCCAACCAGGAGTTCAGGCAGGGACCCCACAGGTAGGCAGAGACACTTGGCCCCTGGCTTCCTGGAGCCAGCACTGGCCCGGTCACTGGGAAGGCATTTGGAGGGTAGGGGCTGTAACCAGCCTCTTCCTGTGACCCACCGGCCAGGCCCCACAGGGTACGGGGGAGGGTTGGAGAACACACCCTGCTTGGGGGACTCCAGGGACGAAAGGGCCCTGTGTGTCCCCCCCATCTCTGCTCCTCTGCTCTTCTGATCCCAGTGTGAGGGGCAAATCTGTTCAGAGGCCACAGTGGTGTGGCACCAGCACTTTTAAGGTCCTGGGTCAGTTTCATTCTGCAAGCTCCCGACTTCAGGACAAAACAAGTCCTCCACCCACACTGGCCCTCACTGGTTCAACTCTGGGAGCCGCCAGCCTGTCTGCCTTCAGAGTCCCACCCACTGCTGCCTCCACAAAGCTTGCCCTGACTCCTTCTCTCTCCCCACAGCCGCCCGAGCCCAGGGCTGCTCCTCCCTGTTGTCATTTTCTCTGGCACTGGTCTCTCTCATGTTTATGTGGCAGAGGCCACGAGCTCCTGAGAGGAAACCTGAGTCTGAGTCAAGTAACAAGTGACGGGAGACAGAGTCGAGCAGCTCCGACTAAGGAGCCAGGTGTGTGAACTGCTCTCCCTCACTGAATCTGTGCTTAGGCCCGTGACCCTATCCCCACCTCACCCAGGGACCCGAGGTCTTCTCTTGGTGAGCCAGTCAGGGACCCGCACACAGCCCAGGCCCTCTGCCATCTGCCTGCAGCCCCCGCTGCTGCAGCCAGCTCTGTCCCCCAGTCTCTTCCAAGCCTAAGCCTCTTGTTTCCAGAAGGCCAGCTGTGGGCCTCCTGCTCGTGAGGGGTCTGAACTGGGTTTCTCTGAGCTGGAGCCCTTGGTGCGGGACTGGAGTTCTCAGCCGACCTGGCCTGCGGTGGCCAAAGTGGCTGGGCCAGGCTGCACTGCGCACCCAGTCCGCGTTCGGCTGCCCCAGCCTTGCAGCTGCCGTCAGCGTTCAGCCCTCACACGGCTTCTACTCTGAGGACACCAAGCTGAGTGCCCCGCAGAAGCACTGTCAGATGGACAGCAGCCTCTGGGTGGCCCGCCTTACCCCCTGCCTTGTCACGCTCCGGCTGGCTTCCCTCCCTTCCAGGTCAAAGCAGGGCAGTTCCTCTTCTGGGGCAAGTCCACTGATGTTCTGGGTCTCCGACCAGAAGCCCCTCCTCAGGGGGGCCAGCCCCGAACTCTAGAGTGCATCTCACAGCACCCTTGACGTGTGTTTCCCTGTTGGCTTCCTCCGTTGGGCTGAGAGCCAGCTCCCTGCAAACAGGCACTGTCTCCCGGGCCTGGAGCCCAGCACAGTGCCGGCACATGGGCAACACACTAGGGCTAAGTATGGGGCTCCCGTGAGGGGGTGGAGAGACATCCCAAAACGAAGGTCAGGGCTGATCTGAAGGTCACTCTCTGGTGGGTCAGGGCAGAAAGGCTCTCCTGAGGAAGGGCAGCTGGGGCAAAGGGCAGAGGGAGGCCCAGCATTGTCGTAGTGGACACGTGAGGGACATGAGACTTGGCTGGTAACACAGCCTGCCTGAGCTCTCCCAGTTAGCACCTGAGCCTGAGTTCAAGTTCGGTCAGTCCTATTCTGTAGGCCACATCTCCTTCCATCCTTGCTACCCTGACCCCCTCACATGCCATCCTCTGGCTGGTGTCCGCAGACTGATGCAGCAGAAAGAGCCCGAGCCCTGGAGTCAGGCGGGACCCTCTGCTTCTTCAAAACTCCAGTATCCAAGCCTGGTGTGGTAGAGCACACCTGTCATCCTAGCAATCAGGAGGCTGAGGCAGGAGGATCGCCACAAATTGGAGGCCAGCCTATGCTGTATAGTGAGTTCAAGACCAGCTTGGACTACACAGAGAGACCTTATCTTAAAAAACAAAAACAAAACAAAACCAAAAATTCCAGTATCCCAGGCTGAGCCCCAGACTACAGCTTCCAAGAAAGCAGAATATAGGGTCAAGGGAATCTTCAGCCAGGGCAGGCTGGGGTCAGGGTCCCGGACGCGGCTGCCCAGACCCGGACTTCCCCATCACAGCCCTGCCCCCAGAGCCTAGCTCTTTCGTTGGTTAAATGGGAACAGCCATGCCTGCCTCGAATAGTTCTCATCATGAGGCAACCAAAATAAAACACAAAGTGACCCGCAAATGTGGGTTGCTGGTATAGCACAGCACTGTTCTGTAATGCCTGGGGAATACGTGCTTTGTGTTTCACAGTACCCTTTTGTTGTTGAGAGCATGTCAGACCGGCCAGGGGCGCCCCCTGGGGCCCTCAGAGGAGCAGGCTTCACACTGTGTCACCCTACTTCCTGGACAGGCTTACTGGTGCCCACCATGGCTCACACTTCCGGTCTCCGTCATTTTTCACCTTTCTCTGTGCTCCTTTGGCCACTTTGGGGCGAGCCTGCACACCAGGGTCAGAGCTTCGGGCGCTCACAGCCTGCTGAGGGGTCGGGGGGCACCAGAAGAGGGGCTGGTGCTGTGAGGGGTGAAGAGTGGGTGCCCCTCTCCTGGCCTGGTGTCGCCGGAGTTGCTGCCAAGCCTTCCTTCTCCTGTCCCCCACCTTGCTTCCTCTGTTGTGACTGAGCGTGGGGTTCTGCAGGCAGCTCCTGGGCCCTGTGCCTGCACCCCACTCTACAAATCCACGATGCTTTCCCTATTCCCGCCCCTCCACCAGCCTGCAGGCTGCTCCTTTGGGGAACCCTCCAGGTGTTTGGCTGGGGGGAATCTCGTTAGCATGGCCTTGGGGAAATTCCGTTCCTTTTGATAATAAACATTTACAGTCAGATGGAGGGAGCAATGAGACTCAGCCAGAAGGAAATTTTGACTTTAGCTACAGTTGCCCTGGTTGGGGAGAGTGGCCACTGACCCAGTTTAGAACTGCATCCATTCATCATCTGTCTCCAAGGGTGGGAGAGGCAGCGGTGATCAGGCAGCTGGGACCACTGTCCAATGGGAGCCCAGGACACCGAGTCATTCACTACGGAGGGCAGTGGGGAGGACAAGAAGCCCCAGAGTGTGGGCTGTGGGGAGGGATCAGCCAGAAGGAGAAGCACAGCAATAACTTGGCAGACTGTGATGTAGCTGAGACTCCCTGGCGCTGCTGTCCGGAGAGGTGAGGTGTTGTGGGAAGCTGGGCTTTGGAAGCTGGGTAGGAGTTTGCCAGTGGGGGGAAGTCTGTTCCCGCAGGAGGAGTCTGGTTACAGAAGACCAGGTGAGACTGCAACTTGCCTTTGGGAGCCTCACTGCAAGTAAAGTGAAGGAAGGGGCACTGTGTGCTGGTTCCATCAGGACAGAGCCACAGGCAGAGGGAGGAAGAAGAAAGTGGAGCTGGGAAGGGACTGGGAGCCAGTCTGGGGCAGCCGGGGAGAGGGGAGCAGCTGCAGTAATTGAGGCTTGAGTTGGCGCCTCCATTCATCCCCAGCTCGAAGCTGATTAGCAATTGTTCCTCCAGATTCTTAAGAGGCCAGAGGATCGCAGGGAGGGAGGGGCGGCCTGGACGAGCTGCCAAGCTTCTGCAGACCTTTCTAGATGCAATTCGGGAGGCCAGTCAGCCTCACGTCTACCCCTGACCTCTCCGAGCTCCCTCCCTTCCTAGCCAAGCCTGGGGGTGAGGAGGGGACTAAAAATACCGGAGAGAAAAGTGAAGCTCCGGCTGCTTCACCCCCAATGCCCAGCCCCGGAGGCCTCTCCACTGACTGCCCTCCTGGTCTGTCTCCCTGTCACACTCTGAGCTCCTGGTCTGCTGCAGCCGCACCTGCCAGCTGGCCTGGGTCGGGAGCTCTGAGCCAGAGCACTTTTCCTCTGCCCATCCCCTGGGGCACTGACCCCAGCTCCCTGAGGGAGGAAGAGATCTTCCCCGCCAGTGACCTCGGGGCTCCTGTTTGGCCAGCAGCCATCCCACCCCTTTAGAGCTCCTCGTATCCTCCAGAGGCCCTGGCATCAGTGAGCCTGGGGCGGGGAGTATCATTCTTGTGCAAAGCAAAACCAGTGCTGGGGCTGGAGGAGTGGGGTCCGCTGAGAACGGACGTGTGCATCCCATGAGCCTTTGCTCCCTGGGGGAAACTCCTCTTCATGCCTCGTCACCACAGAGAGGAAGGGGAAAGAGGCTGCGGGGAAGGGGGAGGTCAGCCCTTGCCTTTGGACTGTGTGACCTTCTCCTTTTGCAGGACTGTTCTTCCGCCATCCCACGAAGGTCTGGGATCCGTCAGCCTCTCTGACTGCCAAAGTTCTGGTTCGCAGGCCATGACAGGAGGACTCCGAAGTCTGCGCTTTGGTTAGCATCAGCCCTAAGTACCACTGTCTGCTTCCCCTGAGCCCCTGAGTACAGGGTCTGGAATTCCTGGGACCCCCGGTGGAGACCCCAAGACAGCTGCCTTTGAACACTGACAGTGGCGTCCCAGGAATCAACACACCCCAGGCTGAAAACCCCAGCCCTACACAAGTCCGTTTTCTTTGTCCTGTTTCCCCGTCAGTAAAATGGGGATTAACAGTGATAAGTTAGGCAGTCCCACAGCAGGGGGACACACTGTTAGCAGGCACACACACACACACACACACACACACACACACACAGTGTTAGGGAAAATGTCAACTCGCGTATGTGCTGAATTTGAAAAACTGTTCTTAGCGCTTTGTGTTTTAATCCATAGAATCCTCTCTGCTGCCTAAAGAAGGCACTATTCCCCTATCTCGAGCACCCCCAACTCCGCCAGGTCAGACAGCTAGGAAGTGGCAGATTCCAGCAGGGCTGCCTGGCTTGGACCCCAGGCCTGTAACCTTTCTGCCTGCCCCACAGGGCAATTCAGGATTGGATTAAGTAATACATGAGGCCTTCTAGTCAATCCCCAGGACACAAAAACAAACAAACAAATAACATAATAAACAAATGGTCTGGCTGGCCTCTCACCCAAGCATGGCTGTCTGACTTCCCACAGCTTCAGGTTCACCAATGGGTGATGGGACATCTGTGGAGGCACAGCTCTCAGCTGGACCAGTTAAGAAACATCAGGAGGCCTGGGCATAATGGTTCATGCCTATAATCCCAGTATTTGGGAGGCTGAGGCAGGAGGGTCTCGGGCTGAGAGTTTGACCTATACAGTAAGACTCTGTCTCAGAAACAGAAAGAGAGGGGTGGGGGAGAAAGGAGGAAAGGAGAGGAGGAGAGAAGAAAAAAGAAAAGAAAGAAAAATAGAGGAAATGTCAGAAAGGAGGAGGCAAGCAAGTGGCACTGGTGGGCAAATGGTAAACGTGAATATCCCCTCCCTGTGTACTAAACCTGACTTTCCAGGTTCAGGGTCTGCAGCTTGTAGAATGTTGAAAAACAACTATGACTAGTTGCCAACACTTGGAAACACAGCTGTGACATTTCCCAATGAAATCTGCTATCGTGCTGTCCTTTCAAAATCTAGGAGAGGAGTATCAGTGGATAAATCCCAGGTCTCTTCTCTGATGGCAGATTACCTGGCTCCAGCCCCAGCTCTCCATTCTCATCTTGCTGTGTGTCCTCAGCTGAGTCACTTAACCTCTCTGTGCTGTGGGCCTTCATAGGCATAATGAGGATAATAACACTACTTGTTTCAGGATAGTCGTGAAGGATAAAAGAGAAAGTACTTACAAAGTATTCTTATAGAACAGGATAGACACAAAAGAACAATTCAAAATGTCAGCCGTTGCTTTTCTCACTATCCTAGAAATAAAAGAGCTGGAGCTGAGTAGCAGCTATGCTCTTGGATGGAGTTCGAGCTCTCCTGCTGCCCCAGCCCCACGGACCTGGGCTGACCGCCCTGTGACTCCGGGCAGCCCCGCATCTGTCCGGGCCATGGGTTCATCTACAGCGTGGAAACACCGGGGCCCCGGCAGCACGATGCTGAGAGAAGCCACACACAGAGCGCCATGAATCACCTGACCACGTCCCAGCCCCAACGCCAGGGCCAGGGCTGAAGCCGGAGGGCTGCTAATGACCGAGCGATTCCATTCAACGGGAAGCCACTGAGATGAACGCTGCAGACAGCGCCCTGGGGTAGGTGCGGGTAAGCTCGATGTTTTAAATGCCAAAAAGGGAGGAGCTTCAGTGCCTGCCCGGCGAGGGGTTCTATGAGAATCCAACGAGGAATGGGCTGCGAGTGCCAAGCTGGAAGTGGGCACTCAGGAAGGCCCAGCATCCGGGCCACAGCTGGCGTGGCCTCCTCCGGTGGGCAGTTTTCTGGCCTGCTGCCTGGGTTTCTCTGTCTCTCTCTGTCCCTGTCTCTGCCCCTCCCCCAGGCCTAACCCTCATACCCCTGCCTGGCAAGGCCGCAGCCACACCTCCCTCTGCTCAGGAGCTTTCTGAGGGGCTGGATGGCTTCCCACAGGGAACAGCTGACCCAGTGTCTCAAGGAGCCTCCAGCCCCTTGGCAAACCCAAGCTCCTGCCCCTGCTGATCTAGCCTGGATCTGTTCAGTTCCTATATAGGGGGCTGGATCCACAACAGCCTGAACCCGGGGGACTCATCCGCACCTCCTCTGTCTCTCTGCAGAGCCCAGAGCTGCTGTGGGATGAGAATTCAGCCCTAATGCCGAACAGCCTCAGCCCTAAGCACCCAACCCACTCAGCCCGCCCATCTCCCACCGAGCGGCCACCTGGGATAATCACGCCTTTCACGTACTCCTCCTCTTCAGAATCTTCTATGCTCTGCAACTCCCAGGACCCTCATGTGTGGCCACATTACCCAAGATGGCACCCAAGATGCTGTCTGTAGCTATGGTTCTAAGGGAACATTCCCTTGGGTCCCCCAAGCCTGCAACACACAGTCTCCTGGAGTAGAGAAAGCCGCAGATGAGGAAGGACACCCCACGGGTTGCATGTAGGTGGGCAAGGGATCCGAATAGAAGCGAGGAGACCCTTCCAGTCTGAAGAGTCTCCAACTCCCCGCCCAGGTCCTAGGCCCCAGCACCTCCCTCTATCTGCTGGGCACTCAGCTGTGGCCCCAGTGCTTGGGCTCTGGCTCCAGCAGCCACAGATGCAGGAGGCTGGGCTCAGGTGAGAGGGCTTGTGGGAGGCGAGCTGACAGGTGTGGCAAGGTCACTGCTGCATGGCAGCTGGCCCAGACCCTCAGGTTCACGTCCTGAGGCCAGCTGGACACTGAGGCGCTGGCCTGTCTGGGGAATGCCACATCTACCTGCTCCAGCATCAGCCACGAGTGCCACAGCACCTGGTACCACAGGTCCTCCTGGGCACGGCTCAGGGTCCCCTGGGAAGGAGAGGGCCTGAGAACCGGCTCAGCCCTGCACCTGGGAGGCAGCAGGGCTGGCGGGAGTGAGCGACTCTGAAGGCCCTGCCGGGGGCGAAAGAGCAGGGAATGGCTGATCGGAGACAGGAGAACAGGGGCGGGCCACCCAGTGTCCCGGGACTACCCCTCACCTCACCACGCGAAGATTCCGGACCAGGACTGAATGGAGACGGTCCTCAGTTCTTCCGAAGCCCCAGGGAGTCCCAAGGGGCCACACCTCCAGGGACATCACTGAGGACACGCAGGGGCCGACGGTTGCACCAACCCCCGGGCTACCCTGAGACTTTAAGATGCTGCCCAGAACTCCACCATTCTCCCCACCAAATCCCAGCGATGGCTGCCTACTCGAGTGCCCCAGGTCACAGAGCAGGAGAACGGGTGCTGGCCAGTGATCCACAGGTGTGCTGCTGGCCCTTCCCAGGCTGCCTGGGCTGGCTCACTTCCGTGGGGAGGGTCTTTGGGAGGCACCGTCTCCCCACACTGAGTCCTGCTCGTGCTCGGGCTCTTGCCACCCCACCCCCACCCCGCCAGCACTGGTCAACACAGGACACGCATTGCCATAGGTGGGCATGAGGCTTCGGCCTCAGCTGTTCATTCCTGGCTGAGGGCACCACCGTGCCAGCTTCTCTAAAGACATAAGCACTGCACCAGCCAGCAGCCATCTGTCCCAACTCTCCGTCCTGCCTTTCCCCTCGACCAGCACCAGAGTCTGGGGAACCAGGGGGTAGCTCTGGGGGGCACCCAAGGACAGGCTGGGGTGCCACAGAGAGCTGGGGGTGGAGAAGCACTGAGAAAGTACCCGAGCCCCTTTTCTGCCATTATTCCGATGGGTCCTGAGGCCCAGAGGGCAAGGGATGGACACATCCCACAGAGGTTTAGCGGGGTCTCCTCCCCAGCACCTGCAGAGACCCAAGTCTGTGCCGCTGCCCATGCCCCGTGGCTGTGCCTTCACTGGGGGGCTGAAAACGAAGGGGATCCTAAACAGAGCCCATGAGATTACGGTGCCCATCTGCCTCACCTTGCAGGGAAAGAAACCGAGGCCCAGGGAGCCCAAGGACACATCGCAGGTGAAATCAGGACCTAGAAACAGTCCTCAGAGGCAGGGGCCGGGTGAAGGCAGAATCTGTTCTTCATCTGCCCCCTTGTGGCCACAGGAGGAACTGCCACCCCGCTCCCCCTCACCCCCCAGCTGCTGCTTCTCTACTTACGTCCGGTCTCTTCTTCCCAAAACAGTTCCCCTTATCTCTACCCAGGGACCCGAACTCCTCCCTTTTTCTCAGTGTGGAGGATCCTAAGGGCAAAGAGCACCGAAGTGTCCTCACCCAAAGCTGGGCTCCTTGGGCGGGGGACTCCTGGAAGGCAGGGGAAGACGGGCTGAGGGCTGCTGAGTGAGCGCCGATCTCTGGGCTCAGCTGGCAGCTCCACTGCATGGCTGGGCGCCCTCTGCAGGCCTCCTCTCCCTGCCCTCTCTGGTTTTCAACGTGACTGGTGGCGGCCTCGTTCTTGAGGCTCCACGGCTGCTGCACCCAGACCCCACCTCGCTCTCCTGCCTCCCAGGTTGGTCCTTCTTGTACTTCCGCGGGTGGGCTCCCTCTGACCCTGGCTGCTAGTGGCTCCTTAGCCTCTGGCCTCCTTGCTTTTCTCTGGATCACCAAGCAGGCAGCTGCCTCAAGGCCCCATCAGACAGAAAAGGAGGCACCAAGAAAGGAAGACGGAAGGAAACTGGCTTTCCATGATCCCAGCAGTGAGGCGATGCCAGAATTTTTGTAATGCCTGTAACTGTTTTGTTTTACAATTCAGCCTCCTCCTGTTTGCCATGCAGCAGTGGGGTGAGCACCATCCCTTTTCACTCTTAGGGCTTCTTAGGCTCCGGCCTGAGTGACCACATCCACTTCCTGTCCAGCTCACACCTCATTTCCGCCGCTTCCAGGTGTCACCCCTGGATGTCCCCCGGTTCTCAGGTTTGACGGGTGGATGGATCACTTTCCCATCACTGGGACAAAACAGCTGACGCCTACAACTTAAAGGAGGAAAGGTTTGCTTTGGCTCAGGTTTCAGAGTGTTTAGTCCGTGGTAGGTTGGCTCTGAGGCAGAAACAGCAAGGTAGAAGGGCCTGGTGGAGGAGAGGTACTCAACGGACAGCAGCCAAGACGTAGGAGAGGAAGAGTCAGAAAGAGAGAGAGAGAGAGAG